TTAAAATACTTTCCAAGGTTTTGTAAGTACAGAAGAACAGCAGCACTCTGCGATGGGAGCTTCTGGGGGCGGGGGTGGGGTGGGGTGAGTTTTTGCAAGTCAACAGCAACCAGCAAAGACATGTGCTTGTCCCAGGAAAAAGCTCATGACCTATGGTTCAAAGCACAGACCTGCCCCTGCCACCACTAACACCGAAGCTCTCCCTCCACACTGGACCACCATGGAAAAGACTTCTCCTAGAGGTGACACAGCTGTGGCTCATGACCAGCATGCATGAGGGTGAGACATTCCACTAACCCAAAGGGCTTTTGCAAATGTTAGGATGTGCTGACAGCTGAGTAATCCTCTGTAAAGAACAGTACACCTTGGCCGCTGTCCTACATTGCTCCACCGCCAAGAGCTGCCAAGTGCCAAAGTGCCACAAGTGCCTCCTGTGTGTGCTTTTTTGGGATCCAGCATGCACTGCCCTAAGCTGTCTGCCTGGTCCACAAGTCCAAAAAGGCAGGTTTGCTTAAGCATTAATTTGTCTCTCTTTGGAGCTGATGGACACCTCCCCATCCAATGTGAACAGATGCAGTCTTGATTATGGAAGGGATATACCACGTTACTAAGGATTTAGCTCAGTGGGTTTCTTTTCCCCAGAAGCACAAGTCCAGCCCATGTCCATCATCAAGTAGGGAGACATATTGTCACAGAATATTTCATGTTGGCATGCTATATGAAAGCTTCAGAGCAATGAAAACTCTTTCACCTTTTGTAGTAAACACAAGCCACCAGCACGTACTACAATGTAATCTAGTAAAACAAAATCATTTTGGGAGCCTTTCAAATGCTGCAAAGGAACAGCACGCTTTGGGTGGGCTGCTCTGTTCTATGAATGCTGCCTGTTAATACGCAGATGTCAAATGCCAACTTTCCATTCACTGTTGCAAAATAACAGACCATCATGTGGTAAAAATAACCATGGGAGGCATGCAGAACATTCCAGCGCTTATTTCACCTACAACATACTACCAGAAATGTGTCTGTGGAAATTCAGTGGGCACCTGTATCAATGCTATGCCAAACAATATGTTTCAGGTCAATGATTTGGAGAATAAGATTAAGGGTAGGCAAATGCTTTTCGTCCATTTTTTACTCCTTTGGTATAATTTATCCCAAATCTAAGGTAGCTGCAGAAAACAGGAGATTACTTTCTCACTATGTGACAATGGGAAAGAAACTCGGAAATGGCTGCTTTCCTCTAACACTGACCCAAGAGGATAACACAAAAAAAACAAAGTAGCTTTAAAGCTTCTCTATGTCCAAGGACAGTTTGTTCAAAGAGATATCCTAAATCCATGTCTGGCTTTGCTTGGCCGTTGATACAATGGTACCACCAATCTTGCAGCCGGGTTTCAAACATTCAATAATGCAGCAATGCCTGTCCACCCTTCCCACTACTGACAGATTTCCAGCCCACTTAAGACCAATGAATGCTGAATAAGGGGTCCAATCTTCTTGTGAAGTCCACCAGACAAACCACTTTTTTAAAGAAACACAAGACATGATACCAGGATTTTTACATGGGGCAGCATAAATCTTATTCTGACGACTCAAGTTAGGCAAGCAGAAAATGTCAGGAGTCCAGGACAAAACTTGCTTCAACTGCTTATTTTTCTTATTTCCAGTTTGCATTCTTGGATATGAAGAGTGTTTCTAGCGCTCATACGTTTCAAACTCTCTAAACATATTAAGCTAATCCCACCTATTAAATGATCATTCTGTCTGTAATCCACTGTTACACTGTTCATATGCCTGCATCTTGATTTAATCCTGCACTCCCTGTTTTTTAAAACTTGTATGTGCATCTTGTACTGCTGAGTCCTCCTGTTAGTAATTATCAGCACAATGATAGTATTTAATTATTTGTATTGCTTTCTTTGTTCTGCTTTATTTCTGTTTTTTGGGATGCAGATATTTTTTCAGTTGTTTCGCATGAAGTGGACAGAAATGCTGACTAATGTAGACATCCCTGTTTCAAATGCTTTTGCATACAAGGGAGCTCATTAAATCATTACACTTACTCATGTCTATGTTTACTCATACGCACATACCCTTGCAAGCTACAAGCTGAATTACACGATTTCTCATATCATGATAACATAGAAGTCTAATAAGTAAACTGCAGCCTGTACACTCATGCATTTTTGCTGTCCCGGCTGAAATTAAGCACCTCTCACACAAAGGAGAAGTGGTTACATTAGCTTAAGAATAAACACTACAAGTATGTGAACATGTTGCAAAATGTCTGATTTTAGTGGGAAAGTCACTTAAAACTGAATTAGAAAAAGCAATACTCAACTGAAGCATTTGTGTTATGTGCAAGGCCTTCAAGACCATCTACAAAACCATAGCTAGCCCTGCTGTTTCTCTAAGGTAGAGGTCTTTGACTTTTTGGGACAGCACAGACCCACATGAGCCCACATCCTCATTTATGAATGTTAGTCTGGTCTTAAACACTAACTCCTTCAGCTTTCTGTTTCGACAGTCCACTCAGCTTGTCAGACCTACCGTTTACGTCTAGCCTGCAAATAAAGATGGGTATTTCTCTTGTGCTATGGCTGTTCATGTCGTAAATGCAGACGCATGAGAAAGGGATCTTCCTGAACGCTTCAGTGTGAGCAGAAGAAATGGTGCTTTCTGCAATGACAATGGAGTGCTCTACTGCAAGAGAAAGGGAATGGTTGCATGCTCCCCCTTGTTAACACATAGGCAGGGGTGCTGGCTGCCAGCAGAGGCTGGACATTGGCCTTTGCAACTAAGCTTCACCCTGCTCCTAGAGAAAATGTAAAAGACTTTGCACATTTTCCAGTAGGGACAAACCCAGCATGTGTGCCGCAAGACTCTTTCACAGACATCTTGATACTGCAGTTGCTCTGTGCTAGCAAATATGATGCAGTGTGACTACTGAATATATAACATCCACGGCACAGTGGTCACACAGTCCCCTAGCAACACCTCTATGGCTGGTCAGGCAGCATTTTTCTATCCTGCTGGTGAAGTAGCTTAGTCTGTCCTCCATCACACTCATGGAGAAGGTTTGGGCTGTTTCATAACGGTCCCATTGGATAGTGCACAGTGTACTTCCAAAGGACCATCAGGCCCCTGAAAACATGAATGTATGAATGGTCCCCCTGTAATCCTCCTTTCTGATTCTCTGCTGGGAATGCAGAGGGGAAATGTGGTGCACAGGCAGCAAAGAAATCCTTTCAGGATGAGTTCAATCTACCTCACTGCTCCAGATGATGTGCTTGACATCTTCTCTCTTCTTTTTGCTCCTTCTTCAGCCCTTTACCTTCTCAGTGTATCCTGATGGGCTCTGGACATGTCATGTTGCCATGGATGTAAACTGTAACTAGACTAATGACCTCAACCTCTACTGTCTTATCTCTCCAGTTCAGGTGGAATATTTTCTCATTTAAATTAAAATACTTTTTTACTGTCTTTGGACTTCTCTTACAAAGAAAACAGGGAAGTTAAGCATGCTAGTGAGGCTGTCAAACAGATGTCCTTTCAACTCAGGAGCAAGCAGCTGATCTGTTATTTGACAGAAGAGAGCTCTGTTACTTCCAAATACTCGAAGATTTTATTTCATGGCTGCAGTTAAGGAAGAAAAAACCAAAACCACAGGGGCAAAGTTTTTGCACATCCTACACTTTGAACTAACTAAGCAAAGCAGCTTTCATTGCCTTCAGTGGTGTTACACACGTAGCTAAGCACATGCTCCTGTGTTTTGCTGGACGGGGTCAGGGCACTGAGCACCTTGCAGCATTCAGAACTAGATGAAGTATGTATTACAGTACGTATTTCTGAAGTTTAGACCATGTATGCTTTCCATCTACTGCATTAATTTATGGAGTAAACCATCAGGTAGCATATGAAATCTAAAAAAAAAAAGTTTTCTTTCCTTGCCTTCTTATCACAGATGTAAAAGAACAATACATATTCTCAGATCAGTTTTAATAAATAGGAATCACAAGACAGAGACCAGTAGTATGAGGCAGCTCTTATATTCATGCTGATCTATGACTTCCACATAGAAACCATTTAGTGTTATCCAAGTTTAGGGTAGGTCTGCTTGTGTATATCCCCAAAGAAACATTCTCAGTGACTTCTCCAAGAAATTTCACAAGAAACCTGGCATAAGACAAATTGAGTTCACCAGGTGCTAGGCTAAAAACTTCAGCTCTTGGAGTTTTGGTCCTATTTGTTTTTTTCTGTCACTTATATGCCTCAGCTGACACATCTGTAAAAGCTGTGCTGCCAAATTTGACCAACCTTTGCTAATTTTCTGCCAGCTGAAAAAACTCTAAATTCACATAGCCTAAATGGCAGAAGCAGCAGCTCTGGAATTTGTCCTGAGAAATAAAAGCATTTTCTTCATGAGCTTTAGAGCCCATTGTTTGTAGCAAAACAAAGGAAAACAAAAAAAACCAAAAAAAAACCAAATAAAAAGAGGACAAACATAAACTGAGACTGCAATGGGAAAATGATAAAAGGAAATAATTCTAATGCCCAAACCTTGCTTCTGAAAGCAGTAAATATTTGATCTGCTGGTGGCATCTGCTGTTGCATTTCAAAGCAATTTGCACCAGTGAAAACTGAGTGCAAGAGAGCTTCGCCCCTCTTTGAACTCCTTTTGGCTGTAGGAGGTGTAAAGCAATGGAGAATCTCTCAAGTGTTGATGAAGTCATACACGTGCATCTGAAGAGGGAACTCAGCCCTCTTTTTAACTCCCTAGTGAGAGAAATCCATTAAAGTCCATTAAACACAAAGATACCATGATGGCTCTACCTTGCAAACCATGGATACCTGGGAGACAAATTCTGGGCAGGTTTGGCTGTATGTGTGCCTACCTCTTACACTCTTCCCTGGGCAGCTGCTATCAGCTGCTGCCAGAGATGGGAGTGACTGTTGAGTGACTGTTCTTACATAAAGCAAAGGGAAACTGTCCCTACCTGTGTATGTTTTCTTCCAGCTTTTTCACCTTCAGCTCATCCTCTTCTGACTGTCTCCTTCTGGCTTCTTCCTCTTCTGCAGAGCCAGCAGAATTTCCCTGTACCAGCCATTTTTCCCGAAGAGCTTTTGACTGTAAGGTAAAAAACCCCAGTCCTTAGGAACAGACTGAACAAAAACAATCTGATGATTGAGAAGCAGCTGTCTCTGCTTCTGAATATTAGATTGTCCCCACTGAATTTCTGATTACTGTTTTAGCCAGTCAATTTCAGGCAAACCATCAGCTGTTTATCCAGATGTCAGGTCTTCCAGATTTAGGGGTGTCGGGTTTATAGTATATACTTTATTTACCATCAATGACTTAATATGAAGTTATTTTTAATTCCTAATAAAAACAAGAGTTTAAACAACACAAATTAGCCAGTTCAGCAAGAAATGAAATCTTTGAAGAGAAGCGTGGATCTCTTGTGAAGGATAAGGCATGGACTGGAAGGACTAAAATCATAAACTTCTTTCTTAAAGCTTCAAAATCAAAAGAGCAGCTAGCTCTAAATGTAACATGTTTCATGAAGGATAAAATCAGTCTGATATTAAATTAATCAAAGACGTTATTTTTCATTTATACCACAGATGTGTCTCCATACATTTACAGGCAGACAGACAGACAGACACATGTATACATTCACACAAGCATACACTTCACCTCTTAGCCAGACACATATTCAAGCAAATCAACACAAGTCTTCCAGAAACCATGGGTAACCCACTGTCACAGAAAACAGCAATATTCTACATCCAATAGAATCATTCCTGGGAGTTTTGCAATTCTTTCTGCACCAAAACCACAGTTACGACCTCACCTGGCCACTGCCTAATCCAGCTGCAGCGCACCCAGCAGAAGATGCATTGGTTGCAAGCAATCGTTTAAATAGCCCATCAGCCTGTGTGTCATTTGGCCCAAATACTGCCAGAGGGATGAGGCTGATCAGCTGGCAGACAGAACAACCACCTGTCAAAAGGGAGATCAGGAGCCCAAAGCCATGCAGGACTTTGCCCCTTGGCAAGAAGGAAACGGAGCTGGTGGAAACAATGGTCGGCCAAGGGACTGACCAAGCTAGTCCCTTGCATTGAACAGAAAAGGGAAGCCTTGGTTTTGAATTTGCAAAGTGATTGGCAATGCTGGTTCAAGGAACCAGCTGTGAGAGTGTGTAACCTCTCCAGCAACGAGGAGTTAATAAAGAAATCACCAGTTCAAAGAAATTTGATTTCAGAGGCTGCCCAAACATGCAGTATCAGTCTTTTCAGTGTCATGTTCGTGGCTGTGATGGAACCTGACTTATGCAAACTATGTGTAAAGGAAAAACGTTCACTGCCAAAAGGAGGCTTCAAACCCAGCCCAAAATAGAAAGTTTTTTGACGTGACAGACAAGGCTTACTTGTTAGTTTTTGAGTGTATATATAGACCTGGTATCTATGCACAAACTATTCTTGTCAATCCATGGCCTATTTGAAATCAGGCAATCAGATTTTAATAAGGCAGCAGACAGAAAGCAATACAAAACACACAAGCGAATTAGACCTTATAAACTACTCCAGCTTTCACTGACTTTACCTGTGCTGTGCATCAGAGAACTTCTAGGTGGGTTTTAAGTGATTTCTATATGAATTAGGACTTCTGCATGACAAAAAAGGTCTCGTGCTCTTGTATCATGCAGACATGTTCAACAGCCGGACACGCTGACGCTGGAGATGTACTTCACCTGGCTGAACTCAGCTTTTGCTCATGGCCTCCAGGTGTCAGTTCACAAAACATTAGGGATAGCTATCTCCCACCACAGTTTCTGCAGTTTGCTGCTTCTTTTGCTGTCACTACCATCTACTTGTGCTTCCTGATGCATTTCGTGGTCTGGTAGTGAGATTTCTCTGTGGGACCTTCGCTTTCCTGTTCAACCCAGCTGATGATTACTGCTCAGAAGTTTCATCAGCTTATTCAGGCCCAATGTACTATTGACATATCCCCTCAGCAGCGGACTCCCAAGTCATCACATGCACCAGGAAACAAAGTGATACAGTCTAAGATGGGTTTACAGGTCCTAAGGTGCTAAGCATTTACCAACCTGTGCTTTGGCATTTAAGAGGTCTCAGTAGCAGTGGGTACCTGCTGGGCTAGATCCATTGCAAAGTGCTGTGAAGGCTGATTGACTCTCAGCAAATTGGTGTCTTTTCTTTAAAAAGAAATGTGGCCAGCTGCATGCAGAGCTATGTTGCTACGTGTGTCATGCTCAGCTAAAGTCTCGAATCAGAAATCCTGTATGGGATCTGAAATCCTCAGTGGGAAAAAAAAAAAAAACAATTTTCTAAAGACCAAACTCTAAAGATGAAGGCAGCCTTCTCTGCTTTAAACCTATTTTAGATATGGCTCCAGCAGTCCTAATAGAGCCTTTGGCAAAGTGCTGCTTGGACAGCACTGAAGACATTCAGTTAACAGTTAATCCTCATTTGCTACAGGAAGACAAATAACATCCAGGCTTTTTTCAGTGTGCTTTTACAGAATCTCCATGCTGATGCTCAGACAGGGAGAAGCCAGCCCCTTCCGTACAACTGCTGTACACCAAAAATAAGATACTTTGTGCAGCTTGTGTTTTGGCCTTTGTTTATGTGACACGTTTAAGCTACAAAATCACATGATTTCTTTCTCCCAGAAGCCTCTTTTTTTGACCTATTAATAGCATGAATTTGAAACTGAAAAGCATCAATGGGGTTTTTAAAAAGACATATTTTGAGACAAGAATGCTACAATCTACTAAAAATCCTCCCTCTCGGGTGAAATGTCAGCATATTTTATCTAAATCAGGAAAGCTGGTATCTTTGATGTTTCTGTCTCTCCTTTTTAAGAAGAAAATTAAGGCATTCATTAAATACTACACTGAGGAATTCAGACAAGAAGACTCTGAGAAATGGAAATATTTATAACAAGTATTTCTTAAAATTCAGCGGGTCTATTTGCCAAGCTGTTGAGGTTACATATATTTATACACCCACTGCAAATACAATAGGCAAACAGGCAGGCATACATCATGGGACCATGCGCAACCGTCTTGCTGTCTGGGAAACATTTTCTCCCCTGACAGATGACTGGTATAGTGCTGAGGCAGTGGGTAGGGGTGGAATAAACTCTCACCTGCTTTGGGCAAATTCTTCCCAGGGCATTTGCATTAGAAAGCCGGCAGAGAGGCTTTGGCACACATGATGAGACCAAGGGTGGTGGAGCGCAATAGGGAGGTGGTGCTAGAGCTGCACTGGTCACTTGGGCACAGCTCCTGGGTACCAGACAGTTCAGTAAGTGAGGCAGCCAGCATCAAGGCAGTCCAGCCAGATGCAAACCAGAACCAGATGTGGCTTGGAAAGAAAAGATGGTTTGCTGCCATCTGTCCTCCACAGCTATGAAATTTGGGTTATGCTTCTTGAAAAAATCTTGCAAAATCTTATCCCAGGAAGAATAGAAGGTGTTTCTCAAATCTGCTAAAAGGAGAATATTTGCATGAAGATGGAGCCTAAAAATAGCTAGCTGTACAAGTTACGCCTGCTTAACAATGTTGTGCATTTGCTTTTACTTAACAGCCTGTGACTAAAATGACCACAAGCTAGTATTTCAGCATTGTTCCTCCTTCATGGCCTGTTAGGAGCTTTAACTCTCTGCTGCACCTTGGAAATTCTTTATGCACCAGAGTTGTGCTGTATGATTAGACATTGTCAAAATGATAGAGGGCTCCAAGAGTGGCCATATATACTATTGTTAAAACACAGGTATTTTTACAGCTCCGTCCAATACTGGAATGTGAATACGCTGTACTTTCAGAAGGCACCACTTCACTGGTACAACAGCTATGCTACGTACAGTTTAGTATAAGTATTCCTTCATTTACTGCAAGAGTATAATTTCTTCAGGCTTAAATCCTTCAGCAGAAATTAGATCATGTCATTAAAAAAGCTCTCTGTTACTGAAGTGGAAAGGGCACTGGGCTTGCGATGCTCTAGGTCACCACCACTCTCAGGTGATTTGGTTTCTCCGCACACAAGCGAGATTGCAGAGATAACTTGCAGTTCCATGTTTACTTTGTTCAAGCATAGGAAATCAGAAGGACTTCTGCACCATGCAAAAGAGGAAAAAAACAGGTCACAATTCTGTGAACAGATCACAGTAAGGACAGAAATAAGTGAACAGATGTTGCACAGGAAGGAACGAAATCATGCCAAATGTTTAAATGCAGTAGACGCAGTGATGGCCATAAATGTGGTGCACAGCTCCCTTACGTGTAATTTATTCCAACTTCATGCTATAGGACAGTAAAGCCTGAGGGCTTGAAGTTGTTTACTTCTAGTGCTAGCAAGGAAATAATGCATAGCCTCTCAAACGCCCATAGTAGAATTAATGCTGTGTTGAAAAGAAAAGCTTTACTTTTAATGCTGCATTTTGCTTTAATGTTGCATCAAAAGTTTAAGAATTTGGGGACATTTTATTATAGCAAATAAACCATTTTAGCACCATTTTCATACACCACTATGCCCTTTACATGTCAGCTCTGGACTCCCTGCTGGTGAAAGGTGATTACCCATCAGTCGTGCCAGTTTTGGACCTGCTTCCATAAACATTGCTTCTAAGACCAAGACATTTTCAGTCCCACGTGAAGTGTGGCAGTGTCTTAACCAGATGCATTTGCCAGACTTGCCATTTGACAATTTATGACAATATAAAAGCCAGTTCTTGCTGTGCTGTTACCTTTTGAGGTAGTTTCTTCAAGCAATTTTGGTGAGGTTTTCTTTTGTATTTACGAGTGGTTAGAAGGGCAACCAGTACTATCTCGCCTTGAGAGTAGTGCTTGCTAAAGTGGAGCACTCCTCTGGCTGCTGAGTTATTTTCAAGGAAGCTGATAATCGTGAGAAACAAAAGTCAAAAATTGGCCCAAGACCGCCTCCTCCTGTAAAATGTGCTATTCTTGAGAAACACTACTGGATGTGGATTATTCAGGATAATTATGCTCTTCTCTGCCATTCAAAATGGGTAATAATGATCGCTCGTGTAATTCCACTGAAATCAGCAGTGCTACCTCAAAGGCACTTTACTGAAATCTT